TACAATACTGTATGGCGAAAAGCACATGCCCACAACACTATTCAGGCTCTGTCATGCCTGGAAGGGTCTAAAGTGCCTGTCCCATCGTACCCTGACAGTACCTTCCCGCAGTGGCGCAGGGCATGGTCCTCGATGCCGTGGTTGACTCGAAAGTCTTGTCTTACCCTGTGCCTATCATCATGAAGGAGCGGGGTGCAGTTGTCAGGCGAGGTGGAGCTCGCCCTCAGACGTCGGATGGGGCGGAGCCCATCCTCAGTCGTTGGGCGAGGTGAAGCCTGCCCTCGGGCGTCAGGCGAGGCGGAGCCTAGCCTTTAGCCGTCGGGCGAGGCAGCCGTCGATCGAGGCGGAGCCTAGCCCTCGGGGGTCGGGCGAGGCAAAGTCTATTCCTCGAGGGTCGGGTGAGGCGGAGTCTGGACTTTAGCCGTCGGGCGAGGGGGAGCCTAGCCCTCGGGGGTCGGGCAAGGCGGAACCGATCTTCCATCGTTCGGGCGAGGTAGAACCGACCTTCTGTCGTTTGGAAGTGTCAGCGTCCGATGGTTACTAATTCCACCTTGTTGGGTACCCCGGTATTAGGTCCCCGACAGAAGGTCAGCAGGAAGGGGGCGTGGAGGAAGCAGAATCTTGTGAATGAGGTCGTCGACCTGCGCACCATGCTCATCCATTGCGCACACTCGGTGTCCACCGGTGATTGCCGGAGTGCGACCGAGGTGCTGAAGCAGATCAAGCAGCACTCCTCGCCCAGAGGGGACGCCACATAGAGGCTGGCTCATTGTTTCGCCATGGGACTAGAGGCATGGCTTGTAGGCACGGGGAGCCAGGCGTACCAATCACTCATGGCACAACACACCTCGGTCGTGGAATTTCTCAAGGCATACAGGCTGTACACGGCAGCCTGCTGCTTCATGAAGGTGAGATTCATCTTCTCCCACATGACAGTTCATGATGTCGTGGCAGGGAGGAGCAAGTTGCACATTGTGGAGTATGGTGTGCAGCATGGATTCCAGTATCTAGGTTTGTTCCATCTACTGGCAAGGAGGGAAGGTGGACCACCAGAGGTGAGGGTCACCACAATTGCCGTCCCACAACCAGGGTTTCGCCCAGCCCACCAGATTGAAGAAACAGGCCACCGTCTCAGCAACATTGCCCGTGAGATGGGTGTGCCATTCAAGTTCCGCGGTATTGCAGCAAAGTGGGAGGCCGTACGTGCTAAGGACCTCAATATTCATCCGGATGAGGTGCTTGTTGTCAACATTGAGGGTTATATCGGCAACTTGATGGACGAGAGTGTTCTGGTGGACAGCCCGAGCCCTAGGGATACGGTCCTCAACAACATCCGGGAGATGCGGCCCAATGTGTTCATCTTTTTTTAGAAAGGAGGCAAGAGATTTGCCGGATTTTTATTAGACGAGCAAAAAGGAACAAGAAAAAAGAATTACAACAAACAATGGGAGACCAAGCTCACCGCCACCATGGCACACCGGCCGACAAACCAACTAGATACCCACCTGGACGACAACTTAAAGTTTAGAAAAACACCCTGAAGCCGAAAAGACACAAAACTAGACCAACCGAACAGTGACCAACAAATGCTACAACTACTCCTGTTGTGGTCCATCATGAAATCTTGTTGCCAACTAGTATTGCTCTATATCTTCCTTACAAAGGAGTGCCACCTGACTAGGCTGCAGCGACTTGTTCTGAAATGTTCTTCGATTCCTTTCCTTCCATAAATTCCACCAAAAATAGATCATAATGCCATCAAACACCTTTCTTTGATCTTTGTCTGTCTTAATTCTGCACTTTCGCCAGTAGTTGTATAGGGATCCTGTCATTCCAACACTATCAATCACCGATAGGCTGAACCATCGCTTGATGAAGGACCAGACTTGCCTTGAAAAAGTGCAGTCCTTGCAAAGATGTATCGGTGTTTCCGGGTCAATACCACAAAGCTTGCATACTGGATCATTTGGCCAATTTCTTTTAATCAAATTGTTTGCCGTTAGGATTTTTTATGCAGCACAGTCCAAGCAAAAAATCTACATTTGGGTTCTGCCTTTGCTTTCTAAATCGGTTGAAGTTTCAGTTTGTTGAATGTACCCTGGAATTGAATGCAGTAGGCCCATTTGGCTGTGTATTCCCCATCCACCGTCCAACGCCAACGGATGCTGTCCTCTATATTCTCGATTAGCTGGATTTGGCTCACCTCTTCCCAAAGGGTTACGTATTCTCTTATTTCCTGTGCAGTGCCTAATGGAATGACATGTGATATCTAGCGGTTATCTTCCAAGGCCTTTTGCACCATGAGATTTTTCCTTTTTGATTTCTTGAACAATGTTGGTGCAATCGCTTTCGGTGTTCACCCACCGACCCAAGACGACGTCCAGAACCTGGCCAACTTGCCATCACCTACTGTCACCACTATCGAAGCCGCAAATAACTCCTTGTCCTGGCCATCTACTAGATGGTCAAGCTTGTTCCAAGCTCTATCTTGGTGCTTCCATTGATACCATAACCATCGTAGTCTCAATGCTCTTGCGAAACATTCAAGGTCCAGAACCCCTAAACCACCTTTCGCTTTGGGTCTACATATTGTTGGCCAATTGATAATGGAATGCCCACCATATACCTTGTCTGGCATTTCTCCCCACCATAGGAAACTCCTTCTCAAGCGATTGATCTTTCTGATTAATCATTTTTGTTCTAGAAATGCGGTCATCTAATAAATTGGTTGAGATGATAGAACCATTTTTACTAGAGTCTCTCTCCCCGTTGAGGACAAGAACCTGCCCTTCCAACCTAGCAGTCCGGCTCCTATTTTGTCAATCAAAGGTTGTACCTCTACCCTGCGTAGTTTCTGGACGTGTAGAGAAAGTCCTAGATATCTCCCAGGGAAACTGCAAATCTTGCCGGGGAAATTTTGAAGTAATTGAGAGACCACTGTGTTGTCCATTATTATAGGGAAAATTTCCATCTTGGAGATGTTGATTTTTAGCCCCGAACATTCTCCAAAGAAGTTTAGTATCTTGAGTACATGATCCAACTCTGTATTTGTAGGGTATGCGAAAATCGCTGCATCGTCAGCATATAGGGAGCACCTCAAATTAGCCGCCTTCGGTAGCACCAGTTTAAGGATCCCTCTTTGTGCTGCCGCTTCAATTATCCATTGTAGTGGGTCGATGGCTAGAATGAATAAAAGGGGAGATAGAGGATCCCCTTCCCTTAACCCCGTGCGTGTCTGATACTGGGTCGGCTCCCCGTTGATCAATACTTTTGATGTTGTTGTTCCAAGTAGCGCTGCTATCCAATCCCTCCATTTTGTGCTAAAGCCCAAAGCCTGTAGCACCTCTAGCAGAAAGCTCCAACCTATGGCGTCGAAAGCTCTGGAAATGTCCAATTTGATGAACAACGCCGACCTTCTCTTTTTATGCAACAGTTGAATCACTCTCTGCGCGTAAATGAAATTGTCATGGATACATCTCTTCTTGATGAAGGCGTTTTGAGCATGTGACACTAAAGAGTTCAAGTGTGGTGCCAATCTATTTGCTAGGATTTTCGTGATGATTTTGACTACACTGTTGATCAGACTAATGGGCCTGTAATCTGATAGAGATGCTGCATCTTGTATTTTGGGCAACAGGACGATATTTGCTTCGTTAATTAAGTTTAATCTCGCAGTCTAGTGACTGTAAAAACTCATGACCGCCTGGACCAAGTCCTCTTTTATAATTGACCAGCATTTTTTCTAGAACACACCGATGAAGCCATCCGGGCCTGGTGCCTTTTCAGAAGGCATGTCTTTCACTGCAGCCTCTATCTCTTGTTCTGTGAATGGCGCGTCCAAATCCTCTAGATCATGATGTTCATATCCCAACTCGCTCCAATTAATAGCTCTTGTTCTTGTGGTTGTTGTCCCCAACAGTTTTGAGAAATGTGTATGTGCCAGCATGGATTTATTCTCTTGCAAGACCACCAGGCTCGTATCTCCCTTGAGTGCACCAATAAATGTTTTCTTTCTCCTTATGTTGGCATGCAATTGGAAGAAACGCGTGTTCGTGTCACCTTTGCGAATCCAAGTAAGCCACGAGTGTTGTCGAGCTCTCGCCTTTTGTATCACTGCTATCCCTAGTGCCTTTATATTGAGGTATTTCTTGAATTCTAACTCCTCTGGTGTCAGAATTCTGGACTCTTGAGCCCTCTCGAGATTGGCCAGTGTAATGTTGAGAATTGCCCAAGTAATCTTGTACCCGCCCAGAGATTTCCTCCTCCAGTTCTTGAGCGCTTTTGCTGTACGTATTAGTTTGACGTGAATGCGCAAGATGTCATCCTGTGTATTTACCACTCTATTCCATGCTTCCTGTACCGTTTCAGTGAAACCTGGCATATGTGCCCAATGCACCTCAAATCTGAAACCCCTATAGAAATGCAAAACGACATCCCCCTGAAGAAAGAGTGGGCAGTGATCGGAGCCCAGCGAGGCTAATGCTTGAAGGTCGGTTCTTGGGAATATCTCCACCCATTCTGTTGAAGCGAACATGTGATCTATTTTGGTCATTGTGGGTGTCTGCTGATCGTTACACCAAGTGAATCTTTTGCCTTGTAGGTCAATCGGTGCAAGCCCTAGATTATCAATGGTGTACTTGAAGTTATTGAGCATTGACAAATTGATGCATGCATTGTTTTTGTCTTGTGCTTGGTAAATTAAGTTAAAATCCCCTAGCAGTAGCCATGCTGGAAGGACATGCTATCGCAGGTCCAAGATTTCTTGCATAAAAGCAATTTTATCTGCATCGGCCTGGGGCCATAGACTCCGGTAGTGGACCAGGATGTATTCTCTGCGAGCATGGTGATCGTTGCAGTGACTGTGTTTGGCATTATGCTTGTTTGCTGAATCCTGAAGAAGCAATGTGTTCATCCATACTGTAGTAAATGGAACCTATGGTGAACCGTTCTTTTTGACACGGTTCCGGGAGGCACTCTTCTTTTTCTCGGCACAATTCGATATGATCTATGCGACCATCCCTAAGGACAATAACGAACGGCTACTGATCGAGAGGGATATCTTTGGGGCGTTTGCCCTGAATGTGATTGCTTGTGAGGGTGCAGACAGGGTGGAACGGCCTGAAACTTATAAGCAATGGCAGGTGCAATTCCACAGGGCTGGGCTGAGGCAGCTACCATTGAATCCAGAGGTTGTCAAGGCCGTCAGGGACAAGATCAAGAACTTTTATCATAGAGACTTTCTCGTCGATGAGGATAACCGTTGGTTGCTGCTCGGATGGAAGGGACGTGTGCTCTATGCCATGTCGACATGGGCTGCTGAGGATAATAAACCCATCTTTTAGTGCCTGAATTCAACTATAGATTATATTGATATTTGATAGACGGTCTATGTTGAACCATGATCCAGCACTATGTTAATTATGATCCAGCACCTTGTGGTTCAGTGGACTTATGTTTCTAGAGAGCTTAGTGCTGAAACCTTTGAGGTAGAAACAATTAGAGCTACATAGGTTGTAGATATAGTTCTTGATATATTGCAGAGTTGTAATAATCTACTATGTACAATGTACACTAGAATTAAAACCCTGTAGTCGACAAGTGGTTACATGTTTGACCTTTGAAGGCTTAAACCCTGAAAAGTATCTAATGATGCATGATATCCAGCAACCTGTGGTTCAGTGGACTTATGTTTCTAAAGGGTTTAGTGCAGAAACTTGCCAGGTAGAAATAAGTAGATGCTTACAGCTACATACGTTGTGGATGTAGTTCTTGATATATTGCAGAGTTGTAATAGTATATACTATGCAAACCAGAATTTGTAATAGAATACTATGTACACAAAGAATTAAACCCTGTCGCTGACAAGCAATTTTATGGGCTACATGTTTGATCTCATGTCCTTTTTTGAAGGCTTAATAAACCCTGAAAAGTATTCTGCCTTGTGAAGTTCTGTTTCTGCTGTAGCATCAGACTGTTGCATCTCCTTCACTGCTAGGTGTAAGCAAGCATTGAATTTGCACTGATTAATCAGAGTATTCCATTTTACAGTCTCATTCCTTTTGGTGATATTCTGAAATGCAAATTCATTTTCCACACAGTTTTGTGTCACAGGCCTCGGTTTTGCATCATTTCTTTCAATTCAGATAAGGACAGCTAAAAGTAGTCAAAGTATTCAGGATTAAGTTGAGATTGTTTCTGCTGTTCCTTCACAAACATGGACACCGTGGACAAGATCTTGTCGCCGCCATGGTCGCCAGCTCGCCATCCTGGAACCTTCCCCCCGTGTTGCCCCTCCTCGGTAGGCTGCTCCTTTAAATTTACCACCGTCAAAGCTGCGGCCGTCATCCTCACTTGCCTTTCCCCACAAAACATACCACTCTAATAAGCTAGCAGCAGGCTGATTCGCCATGCAAAGCTCCAATTTTGACCGCCGGTGAGCCATGTCCGCCACACCCGAGGAGTTCCTAGCACAGAGGGCCTACCTCGCCGCCCCCGAACCCTTCTCCCCCTCCATCTTCCTCGACCTACCCCTGACGCCCCACCCCGACGGTGATGACCCGACCTCCGATGACCCTGCCTCCTCCGACGACCTCGTCCTCCCCTTCATCTCGCGGATGCTCATGGAGGAGGACATCGACGACAAGTTCTTCTACCAGTTCCCCGACCACCCCGCGCTCCTCAGCGCGCAGCAGCCGTACGCACAGATCCTCTCCGACGCCACCGCCGCCTTCTCATCCGACTTCGCCGCCGTCACCAGCTCAGGGATCGGCGGTAACTCCACCCTCTCCTCGTCCTCCTCCGCCCCTGCATCTGCCGACCCAATCGAGCTCTCCCAGCTGCTGCGCTCCCCTCCGTACCCGGACATGGGGGTGGGGCTCAATGACTTCACCGCCGATGAGGTCAATGCCGTCTTCTTGCCGGGACAAGACACCGCGTTCCAGCCGAGTCCGGCGTTCTTGGATACCGCTGGCAGCCGCGGCGGAGGCCAACGGCTGAGCGCTTCCCTCACCGTCCAGAACGCTGGCATTGGTGGAGCCCAACAGCAGCACGCTTCCGTCGTTGCCCAGGACGCCGGCGGTGGCATGGGCATCCAAAGGTCGGCGTGCACGGAGGAGGAGACGAAGACAGAGGCCACCACCTTGCCTGCCGGTGATGGTGACCATGCTGCGTTGTTCTCAGCCTTCTTCGGTGCCCAGAATGGGGAAAATATGGACATGCTCAACATGGCGTTCCTCAAAGGCATGGAAGAGGTCAAGAAGTTCTTGCCCACCAACAATAGCCTTCTGATCGACCTTGACGACACCTCTGGCCAATCCTTGCCTACAGAGAGAGACATCAAACTGTCCACTGTCTTTGTTGCTACCCAAGTGAAGGAGGAGGAGGTGGATGGAATCTCAATGTTTGGAGGAAGTAGCAATGGTAGGGGCCGCAAGAACCATCACTCCCAAGAGGACTTGGAAGTGGAGACCGGCAGAAACAGCAAACTGATGATGCCTGAATAGGAAGAAACCGGTGCTAGTGAGCTGTTCGACGAATTAATGTCCGGCAAACATGATGGATTCTTGAAACACATGCAGGATCTATGCATCGCCATGGATAGCGAGTCTGAGAAGAGTGCCAGGAAGGTGAGCGGGAAGGTGGCGCGGGGGAAGCAGCATGGGAACGAGTTTGTTAACCTGCACACCATGCTCATCCATTGCACACATGCAATGGCCGCAGGCGATCGCCGAAGTGTAACCGACATGCTAAAACATATCAAGTAGCACTCCTCTCTCAGAGGGGATGCCACACAGAGGTTGGCCTATTGTTTTGTAGAAGGACTGGAGGCCCGACTTGCTGGCATAGGGAGCCAGGTGTACCAGTCGCTCGTGGCAAAACGCACATCGGTTGTGGAGTTCCTCAAGGCATACAAGCTATTCTTGGCGGCCGTCAGCCTCAATAAGGTGCATATCATCTTCTCCAACACGAACATCGTGGATGCCGTGGCAGGGAGGACCAAGTTGCACATTGTGGCATATGGTGTACAGTATGGTTTACAGTGGCCAGGCTTGCTACATCTCCTGGCAGGTAGAGAAGGTGGACTTCCAGAGGTGAGGTTCACTGGCATTGACCTTCCGCAGCCTGGGTTCCGCCCAGCCTACCAGATTGAAGAAACAGGCCGCCGGCCTAGCACCTGTGCCCATGAATTCGGCGTGCCATTCAGGGCCGGCTCTATAGATTTTATGGCCCTTGGGCAATACGAAAGCAAGGGCCCTTTAGGCTAAATTTTTTTTCACACTTCTATGATTATGAGAAGTCATACACTAGTACTAGTATGAGGTAGATAAGGGCATGTATATATAGTTCATAAAATACAATGTTTATACAATAGAAGAAACTAAAAGAAAAATAAAATGACTATTATGATTACCTCAAATAAGTAAATAATTCTTCAAGGCTTGTTGGAAAAAATATCTTCTGGCATTTCTGGATGCAAAATCATTGAGAGCAATGTCAAGATCAATGTTATCCAAGACATCCTTCTCAGTACAACACATAGCGGTTAGACCTAAAATTGCGACAGAAAGTAAATTACAGAATAGAATTTTAGAGAAACATCACTAACATGGTTACAGATGGTATATAAGTAGATGAGAAATTCGAGACAGATAGATCAAAAATTCAAAATTCAGATCATGGTCAAACGTAGAAGTAGTGAGGTGTTACCTGTATGCGGCAATTCGCTAACAAGTCGCCGCGCCGCTCGCTGCAAGGTCTGGACCTTCCTGCTGCTGAACAAAGTATATACAATATAATATACATATATAACATATACTCATATACATATACATGAAATTTTTTGGGCCCTCCGATGGCTTGGGCCCCTGGCCGTCGCTCCGGCCGCCTAGGCTCTGAGCCGGGCCTGGTGCCATTCAAGTTCCATGCTATAGCAGCAAAGTGGGAGACGATCTGTGCTGTGGACCTCAACATTGATCCAGATGAGGTGCTTGTTGTGAACAGCGAGTGCCACTTTAGCAACTTGATGGATGAGAGTGTTGACGTTGACACCCCAAGCCCTAGAGATTTGGTGCTCAACAACATTCGAAAGATGCCACCCAATATGTTCATCCAGATCGTCAATAATGGCACATATGGTGCTCCATTCTTCCTCACACGGTTCCGGGAGGCACTGTTCTTCAACTCAGCACTATTTGACATGCTGGATGCAACCATTCCCCGGGACAATGATGTACGGCTGCTGATCGAGCGGGATATTGTTGGGCGATCTGCCCTGAATGTTATTGCTTGTGAGGGTGCATACAGGTTGGATCGCCCTGAGACTTATAAGCAATGGCAGGTGCGGAACCACCGGGCTGGGCTCAAGTAGCTACCGTTGAATCCAGAGGTTGTAAAGCTTGCGAGGGTTAAGGTCAAGAACTATTACCACAAAGACTTTCTCATCGATGAAGATCATCGATGGTTGTTGCAGGGATGGAAAGGGCGGGTTCACTTTGCCATGTCAACATGGGTTGCTGAGGATAATAACTCCATCTTTTAGCTGCTTCACTTCGCCTTGTTTTGGATTATGAATGATATTGATGCTTGATAGATGGTCTGTCTTTATTTTACCACCAAACTATGACCCAGCATCTGTGGCCTAGAGGGTTTTAGTGCTGAAACTTTGTAAGCTAGAAATAAGTAGAACAATAGATGCTTAGAGGCTTAGAGCTACATAGGATGTAGATATAGTTCTGGATATGTTGCAGAATTGTGATGTGTACACCACCTGTAACTGATAAGCAATTTTATTGATTACTTATTCGACTTTTTATCTGTCTCTTCCAGTTCTGTTTCTTCTGTATCACTAGACTGTTGGCATTTCCCTTGTGTATAGGCGTGATTATCAAAGTTGCTCTGTTTAATCAAAGTATTCTATTTGGCTCGATATCTTCCATCATTTTCTCATCCAGACAAGTACAGCTAACAGTGTTCACTAGATTCGGGATAATGTGATGTTTCTGCAATATGGGAAGAGTCAGGCTTGTATCAGCTCGAGGATGCATTCAAATTTATGCATCTGACAGTTATAATGGTTTTTTGTTGTGTTTGTACTGATCCTTTATCATATATTAGCAATAAATAAAGATCGTCTGCAGCAAATCTGCTAGGACTCTACTATACCGATCTTCCATAAAGCTACAGTTGCCTTGGATAAATTTACTGTTTAAAGTCTGATGCTTCTTGTTTGCACTAGTCATTTCTTGCACTGTGTTTTTCCTTGTACAATATTTTTGCCTGTTTATTCAATCTCATAGGCTGAGCATTTGTGGTTCTATGTCTTGTTTATTTCTTTTCCAGGTTT